AGTTATACACAGCCATGGTTCCCAAACCTGCCTATGCATCTGCTATGGTCTGAATGTTTGTGTCCTGCTCCAAAACTCCTGCTTTGAAACCTCACCCCCAACGTGATGGTGTTAGGAGATGGGCCTTTGGGGAGGTGATTAGGTCATAAAGGAAGTGCCCCCTTGAATGGGATTAGTGCCTTTACAAAACCAGGACTCGGACCCTCACCAGACACCAATTGGCCGGCATCTCAGACTTCCAGCCTCCAGAGCTGTGAGAAATAAATTGGTGTTGTTTATAAGCTACTCAGTCTACGGTATTTGTTATAGCAGCCCGAATGGACTAAGACAACATCAGAATCAACTCTGAATGTTTTTAGAAAAATATAGGCATCCACTCTGGAAAACAGTTTTGTAGGTTGTTGTAAAGTAAAGCATGCCTTTATTAAACGACCCAACAGTCCTACTCTTGGGTATTTACCCTAAAGAAATAAAAAAGTGCGTTCACACAAAAAGCCAGACATGAATGCTTACAGCGGCTCTATTTATAATTGCCCCGAACTGAGAAGAACCAAAATGCCCCCGAACAGGTGAATGAATAAACAAACTGTGGTATCTTGGTGAGATGGAATATGACTCAGCAATGAAAAAGAACGAGCTCAGTATACACAACAACTTGGATGAATCTTCAAGACGTTGTGGTGAGCGAATGAAGCCAATCTCAAAAGGTTGCTTACACTGTGACTACCCTGGCATGGCCAACCTATAGTGGTGCAGAAGAGATAGTGGTTGCCAGGCCTGGGGACGGAGGCGGGTTGACCATAAAGGGCTAGCCCCAGAGGCGTTTTGGGGATGATGGAGCTGGTTTGTGTCCTGACTGTGGTAGTAGTCACAGGAATCTACACGAGTCAAAATTGATGGAACTGCGCACCAAAGAAAAATATCAACTTTCCTGTATGCCTGAAAGGTTGAAGTGGTAGAGAACAAAGACTTGAGAAGTAAGCGAAGACGGGGCTGTGAAGAGCTGCAAGGAGGTTTTTAATGAATTTTGAATGCAAGGGGGAAACTAAAGATTTTTAATCATGAGAGAAACATGATTAGATTTGGGTTTTAGTAGGATCATTCTGTTGACAGTATGGAAGATGGATGGGAGGGGATTACATTAAAGGGAAAGAAATCAATTAGTATTCTATTGCAAGAGAGATCAATTAAGGGCAAGGGATAATGAATTCAGCTCTGGACATACTGAGTTAGAGAGGTTTCTGGGGCACTAAAGCAAAGACGTCTATAGCGGGTTGAACATGTGCGTCTGAAGCTCCGGAAAGATGTCTGAGCTAGTAGGAACAATTGGATAGTTGAATTCATACGTAGGGATGCAGCTGCCTTTGATGAATCATATATAGAGTCGGGGAAAACAAAATGTTTGGCGATGTGACTAGGGGGATCACAATATCTAAAAAGAACAGAGAGGAAAAATGGGGCAGAGAATGTGTAGCCAAAGAGAAGGAAAAGAACCAAGAGAAATGAGCATCCCAGAAGCTAAAAGAGGAAAGAAGGAAGGAGTCAATGGTGTCCGACCCTAACACACTGTGAGTCTGGTTTGTTATCTCATGATTGCAGGGATGAGCGACTGAGCAGCTCACAGAACCCTGAAGACCTGGGTCTTGGCCACCAAAGGAGCTCTATGTCATTATCCCATCCACATCCCCATTCCACAGCCAAAGAAACTGAGGCCTGGGGACGCTGGTTGGCTTGTTGCGATAATATGGCTAACTCATGATAAGTCTGGAACTGGCGCCCAGAATGCCTAGCAGTTGGAATGAAACAGTTGGATTCTTCAACAAGTCTTTCATAAAATTATTATTATTTTTTTAGTCAACGCATTTTCTCCATTGATTTCCCTTACAACTAGTTAAAGAAGAAAAACCCCTTCTATCCCAAAACAAAGAAGTCGGAGCCAGGATGACCGGATTGATTCCACTCTTCCATCTGTTTTTTAAATGCATAGTCCCCAGCCTACCTGGATACTTCATTTCCCTTCCTCTCCCCCTCCACTAGGAGAACACAAACACAGCTTTTGAACCAGCCATAAACCACCCCCCACATTTGGCTCCCAGATAAGTTTCTCAGATAATTATGATGGAAATTATATTTTGTCCCAGCCTTGACTTTTCCATTTTCTTTCCCAAAACATCTGCTGTTTGCCATCCCACCAGGGTGTGGAGGGACTCTGATGCATATGGGACTTACTGCAAACTAGGCAACTTACCAGGCCTTCCAATAGCTTCAAAACCACCATGTAACTTTAAAAAAATCTTATACATGCTTCAAAAATTTACAACTAATCTATTATACAACGGAAATTATTCTTCCAGAAGGGTCAAATGTTGCTCATTAGAGCCCCAGATTTTCAGCTCACTCAGTTCTTTCCAGGTAAATCTCAGTAAACAAGAAATTTATATTGCCAAGGTGCCAAATTTGCTCTCTGGTTTATAGATTTCTTAAGAATTGTGTTTTGCTTAGTAAATTTGGAAGAAAGGAGAACCTGGCCTCCAAAAAGGTAGCAAAAGGATAACTAGTCTGGAACTGAAGCTGTAGTCATTTAAGTGAATTTCTTTCTTGGAGAAGGCAAGTAATGAGCAATAGGCAAACAAAACCAGCAAATCCGCAGAGCGGGGCAATGCAAAGTTTCTGCGAGCCCAGAAGTGGTTGTCAGGACCAGCAGGAACGCTCAGGAGTGAAGCACTTCTTGCAGAATGGGCTTTTTGCAGGACATTCGAGTGTGGGTAGAGCCTCCAGGTGTCGAAGGGGAGTTCATTTCGGCATGAGAAGAGAACGGGCTGCGAAGATGAAAGCTGTGTTTGGGGAAGCTCAGTGGCACACGGCTTGTGGATAAATGCAACGGAGGATGACGCTACCCGGGCAGGCTGCAGCCACCCTGTGCCAGGCCTTGAGTCACGTTGCCAGGAATTTGGATTTTTCTCCGAATATACTGAGAGTTTTCAAGGCTCTAGAGGAGCGATAAGGTGACTCTACCTGTGTTTCTGGAAAAGGGTTCTGGCAGCCGTGTCTTGGGAGAGACAGCGTTGGAGAGGCCGTCAGGACAAGCTCCAAGCCAAAGAGAATGGGCCCCAGCTAGAAGGATGCTGGTGAGGACACAAAGAAAGGAAGGAAAGGAAAAGATTTGAGAACTATTTCCCTGAGAGACTCGACAGGCCTGGGGCATGGCAGGGCAGCATCAGAGGCAGGCCAGGCTCTGTGCCAGGTATTGAGGTGAAACAGGAGAGACAGACATTCTTACCTGGAGACTGATGCAGGCTAATGTCATCAGCTCCTATGGGAGGCATGGAGGAGGCAGTGGGGAGGAAGATCGGTCAGTTGGGACAGGGTCAGTTGGAGGTGTCTGTGCATGTGTTCACACAGCCTTTGGAAATTCAGACCCAGCTATCAAGGGAAAGACGTCAAGACATCGGTGTGGTATTGGAAACCAGTATGCAGGCTTGACATGATCACTGTATGGGAGATGCCCCTAGAACGTTTACTCTTTACAGCTTTGGCCACAGACGAGGAACCCAGATTCCACTAAGGAGGGCATATGGGTGGAGAGACATTACTCTGACAGCTGATTACGATTCCCATGAAGAGGTTTGCAGGTAATTTTATTTCTTGCCATGTTGAATACAATCCTGAAGGTGCCACAACGTAAATGCACACCGTCGTGTCCCTTGTTTCTGTGAGATGTTGGGATGAGGAAATATGGTACTCTGTCCCATGGCAGTGTCCTCCAGCTCAGAAAGTCATATGTATGATAAAGTATAAGCTGGCAGCAATTTGTAAACACTCCACCACGAGGCTGCCAGGCAAAGCCACACTGTCTCTTACGTGTCTCTGTGGCCTATTTTTCCCTTGATTCCTACTAGGATAATTTAAGGGACTTCTGTTGTATCCTTTTAATGTGTCTCACATTTTCCAAAAAGTATGTGTCGAGTTTTTACCCTTCAAGGTCATCTGCCCCTAGTCTGGCCTTGACTACAGAAGCACAAAGGTGGGGTCCAGCCACTCGGGGAGCTGGCATTCTCGCTGTTTTCTTGGGGGTGGGGGGTCACTGTTCTCTTCTTATTGGAAACTGAGCTCGTTTTAGCGGCAATCTGTCTCTGTGGTTCTGCCTTTGTCATCCTTATCCCAGAAAAGAGTTATTTTCCAGTGTCCATTCTTACCAACTCCTGAATACATTACTGGCTAACTTTGAACCTCAAAAATCTTTCTTTAAAAATGCAGAAACCATGGAGGTTATATTTTTTATGATTTAGGATTCAAGTCAAGCTAGACAATAACTGACAGAATAAAATGTGGAATGTGAAAAGGTTCAGCATGATTCAAAATCCACTGCTCTGATTCCAATAAAATTTTAAGAATTAAAACTGTGGTCCAGCCCAGTTAGAAGCTCTAGAGAATTCAGTGTGGCGCACTAAACAGATGACTGCAGTTTTTCTATTTCCCAAATTTCCATTTTTTAAAAAAAGATATAAATACTTAAATAAAAACATGACAGTACTGGCGGAAAAAGCGGGAACAACAGTGGAATAGAAATGTTGCAAACTTCCCAACGGAGAAAGCTCTGAGCGCACAGTCAAGAACGTAAAGAGTTTGCCACCACCAGACATCAGGGTGAAATAGAGACCTGATTTGGGGTCAGGGTGGGGGGTCACTCAGTCCCCATCCCCGATCCCAAAATAGAGTTTAGAAACGACAGTCAGAGGAAACCTTCCTCCCAAAGATAAAGCCAAACTCTGTGTTCCAGGAAAACCACATTTCCCGGTGAGGTTTTTGAGGGGTAAACGAAGCCGATGCGGGCTGAGTAACCCCAGGCCGTCCCGCGAGCGCGAGGAAGAACAGACAAGGCGGCCCGGAGCGAGGTCGCCAGGCTGGGAGCCACAGTGCGCACCGCGGCCCAGGCGCCGCGCATGCGCAGGGTCTCTAGGAGCCTTTACACTTAGGGGGACACACAGCCCTCCCGGACCGCTCACAGACCCCGCGCGAAATGCTCGCTCCAGGCAGCTCTCAGCTTCAGCTTTAGGTCACACTGCAGTGCTTTCCATGATGTCGGAACTTTGAGAAGCGAGCTTTTCAGCAGTTGCTATGATAAAAAAAAAAAAAAAGAAAAGAAAAAGGAATTGCCACTGGTAAATCCAGGTAGACCAGAAAAGTGGGAAGAGGTATCCGGTCTGATCCCAGGGTTCGAGATGTTGTACAGCAACCAACAGGCGCCTACAGCCCACCATTCATTGGTGGGGGTTGTTTAAGCATGAAGGAGAAGTGTACTCTTTCCATTTATACCGACTGGTTTTTCAAACAGCTATATGGTCGTTAGGACATAAATAGTTAATAAGCTGTTTGGACCTAACTACTTACAAAGAGGACTGTTAGGAAGTTCTCTCAGCTGAGGGGTGCTGTGAAAAATCGCTGAGACAACGAAGGAGCCGTGAAGAAAAAGCTAGGAAATCTCTGAGTGCGTTATCAGCTCTCAGGGAACAACCTCCCCGGTTTGGCGCTTGGCCCGGGAGGGGCGTGGGGCGGGAGGCGGTCCCCAGGATGCCCGCTTGCTCTTCCTGCTGTCGATGCCTCACCCACTTATATGGGGCCTGTAGTTAGCCATTCACGGAAGAGGCCTGCTCAGGAAACAGATGTGCACGCTGCAGAGGAAACCCACAATCACCGCCTACGTAAATCCACCGGGCCTTCATTCATAAAAACCAGCCAGCCAAGGGCCGCCGAACAGAAGGAAAACACCAGCGTGGAAGGTAATGATAATGATGGCCAAATAAAACAGCTCACCTGAGAGAAAGCAGAAATAATAATAACAATGATAAAAATCCAATTTGATCCTGAGAGATTACAGAGGAAATTGCACCCATAAAATCAGAATTGGCTACAATTAGGAGGGGGGCGGGGGGTGGGGGGGGAAGGGGAAGGAGAAGAAGAAGACGCAGTCCCAGAAAAGGAAGAGGCGCTAGTAATTGAAAGGGGATAGAGAGAATAAAAATCCAACGGGAACACCAAGCTGGTTCTTGAGACGAGGCTCTCCCCCTCTGTGGAGATCAGACAGCCAGCAGGTAGAGTCAAAGGAAACTCCAGCCCTAAAAGCCAAAATAAACAGACAGATGAACAAATGAAAACGTAAAAGTCTTGCAAGATGTATCCAGGAGGGCCAAACTATCAAACAGGTTTTAAAAAATAGAGAACAGTAATGTTAGTGGGAAAGAAATAGTAGGAGAAATAATTGAAGCATATTTCCAGAGCTGACATTTCTTATGTAATGGTCCACCAAGGACAGAACAGGGTGAAGAAAAAATACATCCACATCCAGATGTGCCCTGAGAAAATTTAAGAACACCAAAAATAAAAGGAAAATTCTAAAAGCTCCCACAACGGAAAAATAGAAGAGGACAATGTGATACAAATGGGCCAGTGGCAGCTCGAGGAAGCTGAGAAACTCACAAAGAATTCCAAAAGAAGCCAGAAAACCTTAGCGTTGGACCGCTCTGCTGCAGGTAGCAGGGGTGAGGGGTGTGGAATTAGGTTTCCTTTGCTGCAGGTTCAATCGCACTTCTTGTTTTGAAGAGAATAAAACTTGCATAATTATAATACCATGTGCTGACATGGAGGGCCATCTGTAACGGAAAAGAAACAATTTGCAGAACAAATGGATACTCATCCTACAGAGGCTAAATACACACACATGCACATATAAATTAGAGAGATAGAGATACATAAATGATAGATGATAGATAGATGATAGCTAGATAGATGATAGATAAATAGATAGATGATAGGTAATTAGATAGATGATAGATAGATAGATAGATGGATAGATCAACATTTAAAAGGACACAGAACAGACTCGTGTGATTGGGAAAAAAAGATAAAGCCATTTGCTTTTTATCTTCACCAGTTCATTCTCTTTCTCTCCATTTCTTTTATTTAAGAAGGAGTACAGGTTACTTTTGAAAGTTTTAAAAAACGGAGATGAGAAAAATTATCTTACCCTCACTAGAATGCAAGCAGCAGGAGGTGTGCAGCAAATAACCAACCAATATTTGTTAAACAAATGAGTGAATAAAAAATTTTTTTCTACCAACAGAAGAATATTTCAATTGGAATGTCGTTAGTCTTCCATAGCAATGATAAATTCAAGTTTTCTGTCACCTCTTAAGTTCCATTTAGTAAATATATTTTCCTAGAAATTCATTCATTTCAGCTAGATTTCAAAATGTATTCTCATCTGGCTGTGCACAGTATTGTTTTACTTTTGAAATCTCCTGTCCATATTTTTTGTTTACTTAACAAACGCACAGATTTTCTGTTAAAAATCTTCTTCTAAGTACTTTGCAGATAGTAACCTGCTAGGAGGAGTGGGGCGGGTGAGGCACAGGAAAGTGAGCATCTTTCCTGGGACCCCAGGGTGGGAAGGAGGGAGCTGGGGTCCCTGCATGCTCTTCCCCTTGGTGCGTTCTCTTCCTCTTGGTGCGTTCTCCTTTCTAATGCTGAATATTTGCACATTCTCCCCCTTTCTCTCCATGTTAATATTTCATTTCACAGAATCAACCTTCAAATTACTATGATTACTCTAATGTTTTCAGGTTTTGTTCAATAATTTCTTCTGTGTCCTTATTAGTTTCTTCCTCATGCTTCCATTGAGGTGGGTTCTGCCTGTTGTTGCTGCTTGGCTTCTGGAGTGGAACGGATAGTTTATTTCCATCCTTTCTCATTTCTAAATAAAACCCTTTAAAACTTACATAGTTTTCTCCTGGCACAACCTGGGTTATATCCCATATATTACGGTAATGATGTTTTCACTGTAATCTTCTAAAGAATCTCTTTATTCAGTTTTAATTTTCTCTGCCACTCAAGGATTTTTTAGGGAGTACCTGTGATTTCTACCTAGTTTTAGTTTTTGCATTGGACTTTTTTTTTTTTTTTGAGGAAGATTAGCCCTGAGCTAACATCTGCCAACCCTCCCCTTTTTGGTGAGAACTATCCGCCCTGAGCTAACATCCGTGCCCATCTTCCTCTACTTTATATGTGGGACACCTACCACAGCATGGCTTGACAAGCGGTGCCATGTCCGCACCCGGGATCGAACCAGCGAACCCCCGGCCGCCCAAGCGGAAGGTGCAAACTTGACCGCTATGCCACCTGGCCAGCCCCACTTTGGACTTTTTGTTATTACTTTACTTGTACTGCTTTTGTCAGAAAATCTGGCCTGTGGGAGTTAGGGAGCTCTCTTCTGAGACACAGGCAACGGTCAATGTTTAACTGTACCATGGACATTTGAAGATAACATAATTTTTATGAATATTGAGTAAATAAAATGTATTAATTACATTATTTGATTCTTCTGTTTAACATTTGTCTACTTAACGTATATAATAATAGGAAAATTATTGACTTATACTAAGACTGTACTTTGCCAATTTCTTATTGTATTTTTACCAGATTTTATTTAATATCTTTTGATCCTATGATATTTGGCTCATAAATATTCTTGGATATTATATTGTCATAATGAATTGTACTTTTAAAAACCAATTTGAAGGAGCCCGCTGTATCGCCTACTGTTTATTTTTCCTTTGCATTCGCTATTAATATTGCTATTTTGGGTTCTGTCCAATGGGCACTGCTCTTTCCGCTCTACTTGTTTAAACTCACTGAATTTTCACAACAAAATGAGATTTTTACCAGTGAAAAACTTGAGAATTGCAGAGTTTAAATAATGCACCTATTGTTGTCTACTTTTGTATTTGGTAGATGCAAGATTCAAATACAGATCTGGATTTGCAGAGCCGATTACTATGAACATGCTGACCACTAATGTGTGCGGGCTTCACATAATCCCCTGAGACGGCTGAGCCCTCCATCCCAATGATGCGTCCTAATGGCTTCCTGTTCTTCACAGCTCAAGTGTGTGCCTGACCAACAACTGGCCTCTGTATCCTCAGGAGCTCTCACCGAAGGCACCAGCCACTCCGGTGCTCACTGGGCCTCACTCTCCCTGGCCATGACTTCTCTTAGGTTCCAGGTGCAGGCAGCCTTCGACACAGAGATGCCCTTGGAATGTTCTAGCTACCTTCCACTCCCTCCACAGATTCACAGGAATATCGTGATGCTTTCCGTGCCATTGGCCACCAGGATGCTAAACTTGGGCCTGTGGTCTATCTCCCTGTGCCCTGTAAGTCACTGTCACTGTAACCTGGGTGCTGGAGCAGGGGCAGCCTACAACCACATCTGCTCTCAAAGTCCTCAGTGAGAAGCATGGTCAAAGCCCTTTACTCTGAACAGATTACCCTGGATCTTTCTGGATTTTTGCATGGGACTCCCACCCCCACCCCCACCCCCACCCTGCCCGTCAGCCTTGAAGAGGAGGCCCCCGGTTGGGAGTGGACATGCACCCTGAGCATCAGCTACCTTCACCTTACTTTGTCTGCCTTCTCGGCCTACCATTGATTGGGACCAGACAGCCCGTACCCCTTTCTCTGTTTCATCAGCACCTTCCTTATACGAAACCCCATGGTCAAATCGACTTTGCCTAGTTTTGAATTTGTCAAAAAGGGAGATCCCAAACTTGGGAGATCTTTTTCTCTCAGCATAAAGTTTAGCCTCCAGGCCCTGTGTATTTCTCAAATGTCCTAGTAAGTGTGCCAGAAGCTACCTACCCTTATGTGACTGAATCAACCTATTCTTTGCATTATCGCTGGTCACCGTCCTCCCCCCAGGGCAGGAGGCTGCCCAGGCTGAGAAGTGAGAAAGCCGCACACCAGGAAATGCAAAGCATAAAATTCTGTCAGCGTACCTTGAAACTATTTACCTTATTTTGTAACAATTGATGAAGCGCTGCAACATCATAAATCAGCGTAATTTCCTAACCTGAGGAGTGGGAAGAAGTTTCCTTAAGGAAGTGATGTTTGGGGTGAGCTTTGAAGGGTCCATGGGAATCACGTGGCCCAAAGGAAGTGAAGAGTGTTTCTAGCAAAGGGAACGGCATTTGCAAAGAGCCAGAGGCCGCAGGAACATGGTGTGCTCAAGCAAGGAAGAAAATCCGTGTGGCTGGAGAATAGGGAAGGAAAACAAGAAGCGTGAGACACGAGATGCAACAAGGCCAAGGAGAAACACGCCACACAACAGGCAGCCCCAGCTCTGGGCGGGGCAGGGACCAGGCCTCCACGCTCAGGTGGGAATGGAGAGGGGCGAGAGGGGAGTGAGCAGACAGTGGGGCAGCTCTGACCGCAGCCCTGGCACAGAGCACATCAAAGGCCAAAATCTGAGCCCTGCTGGGGTTTGTTCTACGACCTTTAGTGGATCCACTAATCGTCCCCAGACTGAAGAAGTCCAGAACCGTGGATCTAGCCTGAGGACTCCCTGCCCTCAGCCCTATTCTTCTACATGACACCCTCCCAGAGAGGGTATCAAACTCTCCCAGGCATGCTCAGAACCAAAGCAAGCAAAATGAGGGTCATGGTCCACATGTAATTATTCTCCTTTGTCCTCCGTACTGTTGCCCCCAGCACTGGCACCAGTTGCACTGTTTCTGAAATGCAGTAGAGAAAATGTCCTCAGACACTTTGGAGAACTCTAGATTATCTTGGAAGAACAGAGCACAAGATAGAATCTCCACTCCCACCCTTTCCTGGCCTGGTGTCTTGAAGATGCCCCTCAAAGTAGGTGGGCCTGTGGAAGGGATGCAGAAGTCATGCAGGTGACCTCAGCCCCAAAGTTTTCGGGATGGCCTGATTTCCCTGTCCATGGAGAAAGCGTGGGCGGGGGAGGAAACTGGACTCATTTCACCTTACTTACTCTTATCCTAGAACTGTGAACTAGAGACAGATCACAGCCTGTGACTTATTTTCCCACATTTGTGAGCGTGCATTTCTGATCATCAGAGAAGTTCAGTGCACTGAAAACCTTCCCTAGACTCCACTGCACATCTGTAGTGAGGCAGGCGCACGGCCCCCGCAAAGCACGGCGCGGCTCACCCTCACCCTGGGAGAAAGATCCTAGCTTGGCGTGTGGACCAGGATTTCCCCAGAGAAAAAGTCAGTATCCATATGACGTAAAGTTCCTTTTCTGAAATTTAATCAAAGAGTACCAGCAGAAAAAAAATCACAATTAAAAATACATAAAATTCAAGTCATACTGTTGCCTCCGTTTTAAATAAAACAACACCACACACATTTTTTATACATAAATTTTTATTTCAAAACATTCGATCCCCAGAAAGTCTTTCCCAGTAAGTGATTTTTTAGCAAAGCAGGGCAGTCATCAATAGGATATTAGTTCTGGGGTGAAGTTTTCCACAAGGTGCCCCTGTATTGTTGATGATGTTTTAATCAGCTATCCTTGAAATGGGATGAACACAAAATCAAGTCGTGTACTGAACCTTGAAGGTTATTATACAGCAAAATGAATTTGAAGCCTCAGAAAACACCTAAGAACTAAGAATGTGTTTTAATGTCCATGAAAAAAATACAATATAGAGGGTGGGTCTAAAGAATGATTATTTAAAGCCAGAGGTAGACGTTCTGCAATTGAAACCCAAGATCACCACCCCTTCCACCCCCCCTCCCCCACACACACACCCGTCTCCTTTTGTTGCTGTGAGTGCCTGGTTCCCTGGGGAAAACACTTTGTTTTCTTTCAGCTTTCTGACATCGTATGATGCAACCTGATGCAAAGTGATACGCATCTTGTCACAGGAGAAATTTAAAGAGAGGAGGGAGTAACTGCAGCTGGTGTGGAAATTCTCCAGGGCCCCAGGAGTGGGAGCTGAGCAGTTGCAGAGTAAGGCGGGGAGCCTCCTGGGAGAGTTCATGGAAATACAGTGTGGTTCCGAAGAAAAATTGGGATCCAGTACTTAAAGAGTGGAAATCATTGCAGGGAAAGGGTCATGATACAAATCTTTGGACAAAAAGGCAATGCTTGTTTCAGAATGTCTGTGTAAATACTCTGGGTGTCATGGGAAGAGGGTTGGAGTAGAGCATTCATAGAAACAATATCGGCTAAAAAGAGGATAAACAGGAGTGGGGACTGGTGCTAGTGGTCCTTGGTACTCTTTTCTAGGCTGGAGGGCCTGGGGGCAGGATGGGGAGCATCCTCTCCTCCCTTCCTTGCTTCCCAAGGAGCAAGGCCAGCCTGGTGAATGTCACAGCAGGTGAGCACTGGCGAGGCCAGCAGCAGGGACTGTGTGAAGAGAACGAAAGCTACATTGACCATCCTGTGGAGCTGGGACTTCCTGAGGGGGGCGGTGCCCAGCTCACACGCCCCCCGGAGGTTCCCTGGTGAGAATGTTGTGTGGCCTGTACCTGATACTCCTGCAGCCCCATGAGCCCAGATGGGGAGACCTGCTCTTTACATCTTCCATAAATGTATAGCACCTAGCACATTGCTTTCCACATACAGGTACTCAAGTAATTAGTATGAGTCCATGAGTGAGAAGCAGTTATTAAAGTGGTTCATTTTATCCATGGATAAATGAATGAACTGAATAAAGAGCAAAATATAGACAAGCAAGATATGGCATGAAGCTGGCTCTTAGTTACCACCCTGATCAAATTCACCTGTCTACTACGAAAAGCAAGCACACCCCGTGGAGCGTGTGCCAGGCACTGATAGAAGACCTCCCGGGATATTGAAGCCCGCCAGTCTTCGCACAACCCCTGTTTCACAGATGAGGAAGCAGAGGCCCCAGAGGTTGGGCAGCACGCCTGAGACCAGAGCCCCGAAGGGCAGACTCTGACTTAGGGGAGTCAGGGACCAGCCACTCTTCTCGACCCCTCTGTGATATAGCATGCAGGCAAAGTCACAACCGTTCTTAGAATCCCTGTCTTTTCTTGGGAGTCATATTCGCTTTTCACTTCATCTTGTTCAGATTATGCATATTCCAGATGTATTTCCAGCTTTCAGGTCCTGTGGCTAACAGATTAGCCCAAATAGACCAGATTGTGGTTTGTTTATTGCTCTCCGTACAGCACTATAAAGGTGGGTGTTAAACCTGATTTCCTCATCACTAGATGTGAAAGAACACTTGAGCTTGGAAACCTCCTACTTCACTGTTTATTTCAAGGCTCAAACAAAACAGGATCCATGAAAGGGCTGCAAATGCCTGTCAGGGTCTCTGAACACAAGAATTAGCATCGTTTGGGATTTTTAAGATTGCATTTTAGTTGGAGCAGAGTTAGTAAAAGAAAATAATTTTAAAAAATTTTTCAGACATTTTTTCTCCAATGAGATTGTGAAAATATCATAAAACAAATTTTATGTGCCTGCTAAAGACATCCACGTGTTTCCAAATATCGAAACATTTGGAACTCTGTGTAATCAATAACAATTAACAGAGAATCCATTTGTCATGATTTATAAAATCTTTAGCAACTGATCAAGTAATTTTTGAAAATTATTAGCTGTTGAGAAAGACCCGAACATATACCTCTTTCATAAGTTGAAAATGGAATCCTGTTAATTGAAGATCTTCCACATAAATCACACCTTGGGTCCTGGGAAGGAATTAAAGCTATTGGATCACCAAAGAGAAGATAAGAATTGTGTTGGCTCTTAAAGAACAGATGGAAATTGAACACTCAGAGGGAAGCTGTGCAAGCCCAGGAAGCAGAGGGGACTCTGATGATCCCCTGTCGGGGTGACAATAATAGTAGAAATCATTGTAACTGGAGAGAATGATTTTAGTAGGGGAGAAGTAGAAATGTAAGTTAGAAAGGCAGATTTGGGTCAGAGTGTGGTCATTCTCAAATATTAGACTAAAAGTGTTATCCTGTAAGTAAGGAGGAATAGTGAATTCTTTGGAAAAGAATATTAACATCAAACAAATAGTTAAAAACATACTACCAGAGTTGGAAACGGCCTTAGAGAATATCCAGCCCCTACTCCCAATCCTCTAGATCGGAGCCCCTTGTGTCTAGAATGATGACGTATTTGTCCCGGTGTTCCCCACAGTGCCATACAGAAAGTAATGGCTCAATACAGATTTAATTAACAAGTGAAAGAAGCAGGAAAATGTAGCCCAGAGCAATTGATTTAGCGATTTACCTAAGGTCACCCTGCAGTGACCAGATCCTAGGTTCTCTGTTCGTCCATGACCACAACCCATTCTTGCCTCATTCTTTGTTAAACATAAACTAGATGTCTTATCCAGACAAAGACAGCTATCTAGATATATGAACTTCCAGAAAATTGACTGTATTTTTCTATTTACACATGGATATGTGATGTCTTACAAATATACACATTAAGCCATTAAGTTTAAAATTAAAATGTAGGCCTAATACTTTCTGGAGCCACGCTTATGATGCTAATATTGCAACAGTCCACAAGCCATATTACATATTAAAATACCTTTAAGAGGAAGAGCTAATAAAGCCCTAATCCCACGGATATCTCCCTCTCTCACACACACACACAAACACACACACAATAGCTGCTCACCAAGATTATTAATTGATTTTCCACTCGTCCAGGCACTTCGATTTTCTACTCTAGTCAGAGTGGAAGGATACACATGAAGCAAGACTGGTCATGAGTTTATAATTGCTGAAACTAGGTGATAAATAAATGGCTACTCCATGTCCCATGCTCTCTACTTTCGTAAGTTTAAAAAAAATTTCCCATTGAGGGGCTGGCCCCGTGGCCGAGTGGTTAAGTTCGCGCGCTCCGCTGCAGGCGGCCCAGTGTTTCGTTGGTTCGAATCCTGGGCGCGGACATGGCACTGCTCATCAGACCACGCTAAGGCAGCGTCCCACATACCACAACTAGAAGAACCCACAACGAAGAATATACAACTATGTACCAGGGGGCTTTGGGGAGAAAAAGGAAATAATAAAATCTTAAAAAAAAAAAAAAAATTTCCCATTGAAAACTGTTTTTTAAATGAGGGTGAAAATAATATCCATTAATAAATAAATATGTCATTCAAAATTGGCTTATTGAGTAGCATTCAGAAGAAAACTAGGAAAACTGAAAACTGGGTGAATAGGACATCTTTAGACTTCTTTCCTAGCAGGTGGCTGCAGGAGTCTAGGAGCGGGAAGTGTGGGAGCTGTCCTAGGTCACGTGGAGGTTACCCCATAGAAGGGGGCCAGACCTTCTACCCTCCTGCAGAACTGTCTGCGGAACGGAGAGCTGCCGCCTTGCTTCAGGGAGAAAGCCATTTTTTTTTGACCCAAAACTTAAAAACAATATTATTATTCAGCAAAGATTAAAAGAATTTCTGGAGATGTAAGTATCTGAAAACTAAATTACTGCGAAGCAGTCACCAAATTTTGCAAATCAAGACTGCTGATTTTATTTTTGCTCGTGGACCAAAATAGGTCCTTCCACATGGGGACGGATGGCTGCACCCAGTGAGCAGGAGCAGGCTGGGAAAGCGAACTCCAGCCTGCACTTCCGGGACAGTCCACAAAGCTGACCCTCTGTATGGGGACGTCTGCAGGACACATGCGTGCGTCACTATTAAATACACAAGACCAAGTCGCTCTGGGAGGCATATTCTCCTGTTGTCAGCTGTTGTCCTTGAGCAATCCACATGCAAAGTAGGCAGTGGTAACCCTAAAGGCTAAAGAAACCTAAAACTGAACGTATCTCCCTAAATCGTGAAAGCAGTCGTGTGTCTTATTTTATCATTTTTCTGAAGGAGAAAAATGGAGAAAGATTGAAATGTGATAAGAGAAACCTTTATAACTTAAAGTTCCATAGATACATTCCTGGATGTATGTCCAGTGTCTAGCGTTGGCTGACCATAAGTAAGAACTCCAGAAATGTTTGCTCTTGAACATAGAAATCATCATTATTATAACTCTCATTATCTGAGAATAAGTGGAAAATATTGGCACATCCTATGTACTATTAACATACATAGTCATACAGTCACGTGTTGCTTAACGATGGGGACACGTTCTAAGGAATGGCTTGTTAGGAGATTTCGTCAATGTGTGGACATTATAGAGTGAACTTACACAAACCTAGATGGTATAGCCTACTACACACCTAGACCACATCGTACCAATCTTATAGCACCACCGTCACATATGCAGTCCATCTCAACAGCAACGTCGTTATGTGGCACATGACTGTAAATAATATACATATTGTTCATACACACATGGGCAGAAAACACCTTAGCGAGTAAACCCTGGCACATCAGATGCTTCATACTTAAGCGCGTTCAAATATCTGAAAGTATGGAACCAGATTTGTAATTGTATTTTAAACTCAAAGCGTAAAATATATCGCTATGTTAATGAAAGCGTGAATAGTTGTAGCAGGCACAGGGTCCTGGAAATGCGAGTTCTTTCTTTCACACGCTGTTAAGATGACGTTTAGGAATTGAATAGCTTTCATGTTTCTGTTCTGGATGAAATCAACCACACTCAGCTGCAATCTGTAGCTAACACACAGGTGAGTAAACTCGATTTTAGGCTGAAATTACTGTGATGTGATGCTGGAAAGGGAAGAAACTCGCTGAGAGTCCTCGGCTCTCAAAGTCGGAGGGAACTGTGCGCAGGAGGGAGCTCAGAGGG